CGAGTCTCGGTTAAATGTGTTAGGAGTTGAATTGGGTTGCGATATTTTGACTATAGACCACGTATATTATGAGGATGTTCTGTTTTGAGTTTTTTTGAATTTTGGATGCCGTTTGACGTCGGTTAAAAATTGAGACTTTAGCCGGTAAAATGCGATAATTGTAGAAAATTAGCCGGATATAATTTTAGCTGCAGTTGTTGGATGTAAAATCATTATAAATCACAAATTAGTGATTTAAATATTGGCTTAAAATGAGTTAGAATTTTCGAGAATCAGAAACCCTAGTTTTGTCTGGTTCCGATAATTGGGTATTTTTTGGATCCAAGTTTAACCGACCGAACCTTAGTACCATTTTAATAATTTTAGACGTCATTGAATTAATCCTAATGGGTATCGTCGTCCCGCACACTTCCTTGACTCTCGTCCGACCGTTGGAGCTGAACCGCCGAGCCCATGCACCGAGTCTGAGTCAAACCACCGAGTGCGTGCTCGTGCACCGAGTCCATCCGACCTACCGTCTACGCGCCGTTTCCGTTAGCCATGGTCTAAGCACGCCCCTGTGTCGGTGACTGTGGCACCATTTCAAACTTGTGCATCGGCTAAGCCGTGTCAGTTGGGTTCGTGTCAGCCCCGAGTTGCCACGCCGAACTCAGACCACGGTCAAACCGAGCTGCACATAGTCAAGCGGATGATCGACTGGCTCCGGGTGAGCTGTCGGTCCAGTTCAGTCGAACCAGTCCAGTCAGTTCGGACGGTTGAAAGTATATTTCAGATAGAATTTCAGATATATTTCAGATAAAGTTAAGATTCAAGATAGATGGAAGATCCAAATAAATTTTAGATTTCAGTCAGATTAGATTAAGTCAGATTTTAGTTTCAGACTTAGAAATTTCAGAGAACTCTAGTACGCCTCAAAGAGACAAAGACAATAAGTTTTCAAACAATCAGCTCGTAAATCACTAAAACAATTTTAAAGCCGAGTTAGCGAACCTAGTCAGCTCAGATAATATAATTCAAGTTTTCAGTTAAGATAAGTACTTAGTAGATATTTTATGCTTATATATTTTGTAGCTTGTGGAGATTCGAGCCTCCGACAGCTGCAAACCATTCAGACCTTGCATTTCTCCATATCAGGTGGGGACCCTGTTCTGGGTACTACATTTTCTATAATCGTAATACCATGGTTGAGGTATGTATGTAAGATTTTGCCCGAATGGAGGCAATTACCTAGTGAGTAGATCCTTTCTAGCTAGGTGAATCGAACACTAGTTAAGATGAGATAAGAATTCTAGTGCAGCTATGAGTTAAGTGAATTCAGAACCCTAGAGCATCTTTGATTTAAGTTTAATTTCAGATGATCTTAGAATAATTCTTCCCTAAGGGATATTGATCTAGAGATAGATTTCGTCATAACCAAGTGTTTCGAATCCCCAATTAGTATCAAGGACTTTAGTGCAGTTGTGAGTTAAGCTCCAACCTTAGAAGTGCATAAGAGTTAGTTTTGCCCTGGTATGGGTAACGACCTACAGATTAGGTCACAGTTGCTTATCGTGAGAGTAAAGACCTAGTGTCCTTCTCGCCTGTTAAGCAGTCAATTGAGCAACAATTATATACAGTCAGTTGAGCAGCAATTATATACAGTCAATTGAGCAACAATTATAGATAGTCAGTTGAGCAACAGTTATAGACAGTATACTTATTTGTACGCATTTGTGATGTGTTATATCATAGTAGATGTATGTTTAGGTTGTGATGTGCTTTATCATATTAGATGTATGCTTAGGTTGTGATGTGCTTTATCATATTAGGTGTATGCTTAGGGTGTGATGTGCTTATTATATCAGAGGTATGTTTAATTCACGATGTTGCAGTTATAGTGAGTCAGTTGAGCAGTAATTATAATGAGTCAGTTGAGCGGTTGTTATAGTTCGTCAGTTGAGCAGCCATTATAGTTCGTCTGTTGAGCAGCCATTATAGTTAGTCAGTTGAGCATCAATTATAGTTAGTTAGTTGAGCAGTAGTTATAGTAAGCCAATCTAGCAACCATTATAGACAGTCAGCTAAACGGCAGTTATAGGCGGTTAGTTAAGTAGCAGCTATAGATAGTTGCCGATTTAAGT